TTGTTGTTGTTGCTGTTGTTGTTGTAATTGTGGTAGTGGAATAGCAGGAAGCAGCATCGGACATTGTGATCCTAAGCCCCTAGATCCTTAAAGCCTGGACCCCAAACCCTACATCAGAACCACGCCCAAGCTCTAAACCCCAGACCCCCCAAGCACCCTTTACTAGAAGCCATGTGGTCCTTAATAGTGGGTGCCCAGGCTCCCATCAGGGGTCGTTGTTGGGCAAGCGAAACCCTGAATATCCCTAAACCTTAGAACCTTAAACCAGAACCTTAACAACCCTAAGCCCTAAGCCCTAAGACCCTAAACCAGAACCCTATAAACCTTAAACCAGAACCAGAACCTTAAAAATCCTTAACCGGAACCCTGAAAATCTTGAACCAGAACCTGAGGTTCCAGGCGAGCGGCCCTCTTTCGCAGCGGTGAAAGAGCAGCCTACTAGCGCTTACCGGAGAGTGGGGGAGGGAATATAGGGTCTACGGTAAGGGAACTATATACAGGACAGCAACAGGACTACTACAAAAGGGATTACTACAAGGGACTTCTTTTCTAAGGGACTCTGTAAGGAATGGATTACTATAAGGGACGACTATATAAGGTACTACATAAAGACTACAGTTGGGATCAACCCTAAACCCTAAAACTCATTGACCCGATTTGCGGGGAAAGGGGCCATTGCACATTAAAGAAAAACCCTACTTGGAGGGTCATGGGTAGCTATAAGTAGGGGTATAGGTAGGATAGCTATAGTTCTAAATTTTTTTTGGTGGACTTATAACTCCCCTTATAACTGCCCATGAACCTCCAAGTAGAACCCTAAACCCTTAAGCACAAGTAAGGAAACCCTAAACCTTACATAAATCCTAAACCCCAAGCCTGGAACCCTAAACCCTAAACCCTAGAACCCCAAACCCTAGAACCCTAAACCCTAAACCCTAGAACCCCAAACCCTAGAACCCCAGAACCCCAAACCCTAAACCCTAAACCCTAGAACCCCAAACCCCAAACCCTAGAACCCCAAACCCTAGAACCCTAGAACCCCAAACCCCAAACCCTAGAACCCTAAGCCCAAACCCCAAACCCTAGAGCCCTAAGCCCTTAAGCCCTAGAACCCTAAACCCTAGAACCCTAAACCCTAGAACCCTAAACCGTAAACCCTAGAACCCCAAACCCTAGAACCCTAGAACCCCAAACCCCAGAACCCTAGAACCCCAAGCCCTAGGACCCCTGAACCCTAGAACCCTAGAACCCTAAACCCGAAACCCTAAACCCTAGAACCTCAAACCCTAAACCCTAAACCCTAAACCCTAAACCCTAAACCCTAAACCCTAGAGCCCTAAGCCCTTAAGCACCAGTAAGGCAAGTGTCCCGGCATCCTCCAGAGCTTGGAGTGGCCCGGCTCTGCGTTTCAGGAGGGCTTAAGGTTTTAGGGCTTTAGGGCTTTAGGGTTTTAGGGTTTAGGGCTCTAGGGCTTTAGGGTTTAAGGCTTTAGGGTTTATAGGGTTTATAGGGTTTATAGGGTTTATAGGGTTTGAGGGTTGGTTTTAGGGTTTAGGGCTTTAGGGTTTAAGGTATCCAAGGTTTAGGTATGGGTTTTTCAGTGCTTTCAGGGTTTTGGGCTTTAGGGTTTAAGGCCTCCAAGGTTAAGGTATGGCAGGTTTAGGTTCTATGGTTCAGGGTTTAGGATTTAGGGTTTAGGGTTTAGGGTTTAGGCTTTCACAAGGTCACAAGGCTTTCTATAGAAGGTACTCGTGCAGTATTTCAAGCAGGGCTTCTACAAGCTTTAACTGTTGGCACGGGTTCTAGGGGGGTTTTGGTAAGGCTTGCGATCAGGTTCTGTACAGTTTCTATACGGGCTTGCAAAGCAGTTTCTCAAGGCTTCTATGTTCTGGTTTATAGCAACTTTCATCATTTGTGCATAGCTTCCGCCAGTGTTTCTTTAATGTTTCTGGAGGGGGGTTCCATAAGCGCTTCAGCTGTTTATACGGGTTTTACTGGGTTTCAATTACGGTTTCGGACGGCTCTTATAAGGTTTCTATAGCAGTTAGGCTTAAATGTTTCTCCCACGCTCCCACGTTATGTTGAGGGTTTGGCTTGTGTCCATGGCTTATGTCCAGGGCTTAGGTTATGTAGTAGAGCGTTTAGAGTTTAGGATTGTGGGATCAGTTTCTGTTTTGCGAAGTCAAGGGCTTCTGGTAATCACTGGGGTGTTCAGGGATTCAGGGCGGAGGGGTCTTCGGGGTTCAGGGAATCCGGCCCTCGCAGCTTATAGCTCAGGGGTGTTGAGGTTGGAGCTTCGTTGCTTATGCTCCCCGTAAACCGAAAATCCATAGCCCAACACCCACAGCATGTGATTGTTTTCTCAGCTTCCCCATGGATGTCAAGGCATGGGCTTCGTTTCAGGAGGGAGTAGACTGTTTATGATTGGGAGAAGTAGAGTGATTGTTATAGTTTAGGATTTCGGGCTTAGTATCCTGTTGCTCCCGACGCTGCTCCAAACTTGCTCTTGCAAGGCCTTAAACAAGCTTGCAGACGCACGCAGATGTATGCATGTAGAGTTCATATACATACACTCGCAGGCAGCACATGTTGGCGTGATTGCATGCAGATGCCATGCATTCACCTCGCATGTATATGTACGTTGGCATGTATGTATGTATATATATAGATACATATACAAATCTGCATGGGCATGACTTAGTGTTTAACCATCCTCTAAATATATATCTGTACACATGTTTATACATGTAGACATGTAAATGTAGCTTGTTCATGAGTATGTATACACATATGACTTCAATTCGCTCTCTGGCTGCGTATATCCAGTTGTGCACTCACTTATAAACATATGCACGCACACATACACATGTGCTGAACCCTTTTCCGTATCCTGACCAACTGGCGAATATGTGCACGCTTGCACGTCAGTGTGCTCATACGCCGGGAAACACACCCAGACACCTGCATAAGGGTTTGACAAATTACTCAAAGGCTTCGTTTGATTGTGCACTTTGTGGACCTATCCGTTGTTTGGTTAAGTACTGAAGACCAGCAGAAGGCAGTAACTACAGTCAGAATCACCATCGTTTCGAACAGTTGACTCTGTTCCCTAAACCATAGACCCTAATAAACCCTGAATCCCTAAACCCTAAACCCCTAAAACACGTCCCAGACGCTTCCAGCAGAAGTGAAGGGCACCCCAGCTTACCACAGGACGAAGTTTCATCATCTCCAAGCTCCTGGCAACCTCCTTGGTTTAGGGTTTAGGGTTTAGCGTAGGGCCAGTGTAGGGTTTAGGGAGATAGCTGTGAAAACGGAAATCTTGTCGTGTCAGGTCGTCCGACAGCTTCTGCTAACATTCCCTGGGATCTGCCTCGCCCTGCCGCTGGGGAAACGTGGCCATGCAATAGGCAGGGCAAGCTGTGGGGGCTTGTTGGTTCCTTATTTCTAAGGGCTTTAGGAGGGACCCTTAATAGGGACCCTTGTAGGTTATTGGGATTAATATGGAGACTACCTGGCTATGTAAGGGATATATAAGGACTATACAATGGTTATTTAGGGAAATGGGATTAAGGGTCCCTATTAGGGGTCGCTCCTAGAGTCTTTAGATTATTACAATTATGGTTTAGGGTTTCGGGTTTAGCGTCTGTACCCAAAAACCCTATTCTAATTATGAAGGCCCCCACATTATGCAGCATACCTATAGTCTCCATTGTAGTTCCTTTTTTGGTTACCCAAATTGAGGCTCAAATCGGCCCCAGGGGTATAGGGATTCGGGTTTATGTTGAGAAGCACTGTAAGCCCGCAACTGCAATCTCGAAGCCATCGATCGAGGTGCCTTTTACAAAGCTTCGGAGAATAAAACAACCTTCAAATTTTGTCCAACACTGTTCCTTAGAGCTCCCTTTGTATTTGAAGTAGAATTGACCCAGAAGCCCTGTTCCAATTATTACTTGTTTCTCGTTAACTTGCAGCCTACGCGGTGACACTCGGAATTCCTATGGATGTCTGCAGCGCAGACTGCGTAGCGAATGCTTGACCCCTTGAGCATCAGTCCGGAGATTTGTAGCTTCCCGGTTGGGGACTCTTTCATACTTGATTCTTGCTGTTTGTTTGTACAAGTGTGTTAAGATCTGTGCACTCCAAGAATCAGGAATCCGGCCTGCCATAGGAAACCGAAGCCCTAAATCCTATTCCGCTCCTTCCAGAGACCTCGACCTTGAACTGCACTCCTAAACCCTAAACTTAGGGGTACTTGAAATATTTTTTAATCTTTGGCTACTATAAACCCTAAGAAACAGCTAAAATTATGATTTTTGCTAGGGGTCTAAGTTCAGTATAGTAAACTCTAAACCCTACACCCACACCGAACAGGAGCTCCGGTTGCTTCGATGGCCATTTGCGTCACTGGACTTATTTGGGGCCCTATGCTCCTTTACCTCTATGGAGGATATCCTGCACCTTGGTATGAAGTGTTTGCTGAGCTTTTCTTGTGTGAAGACCATTTCGCAGTGCATTACAGCAAAGATCCACGACAACGAAGAAGGCGAGAATGACCCCTATAGCTATTCAGAGAAACTACCGTTACCTTTTTTCGTTATTGTTGCTAGTATTGTTTGCACATTTTGACTACCACTACTACTACTTCGTTACTTACTTACTTACTTACTTACGTGCTTGCTTATCTACGGACTTACTTACTTTCCTTATTGGCTCACTGACTCGCTGTTTGTCAAAAAACCTACTTTCTGACTCTACTTTACTTGTTTGCTTGCGCTTTTACATTATTATCATTACTAATCTACTACTGCTACTACTACTACTACTACTACTACTACTGCTACTACTACTACTACTACTACTACTACTGCTACTACTACTACTACTACTACTACTACTACGACTACTACCACCACTACCAATACTACTAATACTGCTACTGCTCCTACCACCACCACCACCAC